GGGAGAACATTCCAAGCAGAGGGACCAGCAGAGGGAGAACATTCCAAGCAGAGGGACCAGCAGGGGTCTGGAGGTGAGAAAGCCTTGGCCTGTGTGGGCACCTGAGCCCTGCTGGAGAGGTGATGGAAAAGCAGGCAGGGCCCCGCCCCAAAGGACCTTTTCAGCCTGGCTAAGAAGTTTAGGATTTATTCTAAAGGCCTGGAGTAAAGTTACAAGCTGTAAAGTTATAAGCAGAGCAGTGGGGATCACGTGCTTCCCTTCTTACCTGTCTGGATCCTTGTCTGTTCCCATCACTAGGCTATAGAGGTTGCAGATCATCCCTTAGTCACCTGTATCTCCAGGGCCTAGGACAGAGCTGGGACCAACCACTATGGGGCACAGAGTCAGACCACCATGGGCCCACAGTACATGTTTCAGTATATGTTTGTTGATTGAATTACCAAGCAGCTGTAGCTGTGAAGAAAGTGTAGCAGGGACTTTTCCCCGAACCTGGACAATCCCAGAATTCGGGCCTCAGCTTCCCAGGCTGACTGATAGGCCAATAGCTCAGCTCTCAGCTCCAGCAAGGGCAGACCTGCCACCCCTTTCTGCCCATCCCCAGGCAGGAGCTGGTAGGAGATCAGATGCTACTTCAATTCCAAGTAGCTCATGAACAAAGACTGTAAAGTTGCTAAGAAACCCACTTTTCTGAGAGTTCACCGTGTGTTCCTTTGTTTCTACGGTGTTGTGTATGTGAGTGAGCATGAGTACACCAAGGGCCATCCCCTTGCCAGCCCTGAATCAAGTCAGACTTGCAGGTTAGAACTGCAGGCTGCTCTGGGGCACCATCACGGACCCCAGGTATTGCCAAGCCAGGCAGCCCAGGTGTCGAGGGTGAACAAAAGAGGAGCCAGCTGCCTGAGGCCAGAGGTTGGCAGAGCTGTGAGCAGCTGCAGGAAGGAAGCTTTGGATACTGAATCCCGGACCCACTTCAGCAAAGCCCAGAAGCCCTAACGTGGGAGACACCAACCATGGAACTGGGAGGGGGTCCCACTCCCATCCCCAGCTGAGCTTGGAAAGTGAATCCTTAACAAGATCAGGCCACTGCAAAATACTAGATGCCAGATTTGTAGAACTGTAAGGGTCCAGGCTGACCATTATCTAATATGCTCCCCTTCTCCCCATTGCCATATGGAGAATCTGAGGCTTAGGGAAGGGAAGGGACTTTCTCAAGGGCACGGAGCAGAGAGCAAATGTAGAAGCACTCTCAGAATCGATCAGATCTGTGGGCTGTGAGTGGAGGAAAAAAAGGCCTAAACTATCTTATTCATCCATTTGTCCATTCATCAAATACTTACTGAGCCCTTACTAAGTGCCAGGAGCCCTGAAGCCCCAATCCCAACTAAATACAGAGAAAAAGAGGATCCAAAACTTGGAGGGAATTGCCCAGTTCTCTGAATCTGTATCCAGTAAGCATTCCCCCGCCACCAACAGAGCTCTCACTCTGCGTCCAGCCAAGTACTTTAGATACCTTGGACTTGCTTGTGGGCTTGGGAGGACAAGGAGCTAAAATGAGTGAGAACGTAATCTTCCTATCCTCCCACCTGCTCCAGGGAGGAGGGACCTTCCCTCCCAGCGGTCAGTGACCCTGAGGAGGCACCCAAGGGCCAGCGCCCTGGATTCGTTTCTCTCTGTAGCCCTGGGTGCCCATGTGCCCAGCACCTTGAGCAAGCCATTCTTGGCTCTAGACATCAGCCTAGGGCACATCGGATGCTGCTCTCTCTGCCCAGTTTAAAACTCTGATGGTTCCTACTGCTTTTAAAATAGAGACCAGAGACTCCTCATCAGGGCCACAAGGGCCTGCAGGGTCTGGCTTCTGCCTGCCTCTCCTTGTCTCTCCTTTCTCTCCCACTCCGTTCCAGCCTCACCTGCCTCCTTGTCTGTCATGCTCCCTCCACAGGGTCTTCAGCCATGCTGCCTCTACACCTGGAATGTTCTTCCCTCTCTTCTTTTTTTTTCTGAATAAGAGTTTAGTCTTTTTAAAGGAACCATTAAAAGTTTTAGAAGAAAATGTAGATGGAAAATTATCATATTCATGGGTGGTGAAAGATTTTTCAAACGAAAAATAATGGAAGTTACAAAAGAAAATATCGACCCTCTGGTTCCAGGGCTCAAGCCTGCCAAGGTGGCCAGGGAACAGATTCCCCCTTATTGTTAATCAGCCTTCTCCAAGCCGTGGTCCACAGCGCCCTCTGGTGGGCCCAGAGAGACAGCACCAGCAGGCAGCTTCTGCTCATGGTCACCTGTAGCCTCACACCAAGACTCAACCATAGGACCACGCGTGGAGCTGGGAGCATCATCCCTTCTCATTCTACTGCAGAATACTGAGGTCTACACAGGGGGCGGGATTTGCACAAGATATCACTGAGCCTGTGGCACAGCCAGGCCAGCAAGTGCTTTTTCCACCACATGGTATTACACAAATCTAATACTCAAAAAAGCATCCAAATGTTTTGTCAAGTAGGGACTTGTAGCCCTACTTGTAGCCCTGATGGGGGAGCATCAGAAATGAGCTAAGCTTACTTTGTATTATCACTGCCCTCATGAAATCCTCCATTCCTGGGGTGTAGTCTGTAAGACCCTTCGTGGGCTATCCCACCTAACTCTGGGCTCACCTCCTTCTGTGCCTCCAACACAGGGACGCCTTCCTGCATCAGGGCCTTTGCACTAGCTGTTCCCCTTGCCTGGAACTCTCTCCCCCAAACTGCCTCTTGGCTCACACTTCCCTCATGTCTTTCAGGTCTCACAGAGAGGCATCCCCTGACTATCTTATCTGACGTTGATCCCCACTCTAGTCTCTAAAATATCTTGATTTATGTCCTCCATAGCCCTGGTCACATCTGAAATCATCTTGGTTAGTTGTCTGAGATCTGCCTTCCTCTCCAGAACAATGGCTGTTGGGAATTTGATCAGTACCCAGCAGAGGGCCTGGGTACCGAGTAGGTGCTCAACGAATACGTGGGGAATGATGGAATGGAGAATGGCGCACGACAAAGAATAAACCAGAGACCATGTTAGAGAAAGTCTGGAGGTTTACTCAACAACAATCACAGTCACAATTGTACATGGTAAGTCAGTTCTTCACAAAGGCTCACTTTTCCAGGCAGGAGAAGAGAGGCTGGTGGTCTTGAGCTTTCTCTATGGAATCCCAGTCTGACTTCTCAAATCTTGCCTGCCTGTAATCCCTTTGGGATCCCAGTCTTCAAGCCAATAACAGAGCAGGAGCCCAACCCTGTCGCCTGGCTCAGCTGAATCAAAACCATTTTGGGGGCAGATGTTAAGAGGACCTTGTCACTTGGAATGTAGGTCCAACTCCCACCCCAGAGGGGGCAGTGGCCTTGGCTCAAGATCAAGTTTGAACTAAAATATTACTTGGATTTTCACAAAGAGCTTCAGTTGAAAGCAGAATTCTGAACAGAACTGGACTCCTTGCCCCTCTCCCACACTTACTCATCTTCAGAAAACATTAAAAATGCATTGCCTCCTGGGAATTAGAAAAGATTACGCAATCTGTACAAACTACAGACCATTGAAGCAAGGAAACCACATCTCTCAGCCATTACTGAAAGGTGCTTTACCACTCTTTTGAGACTCCAGAGACTAGTAAGATGGAGATGCACAGTAAGAAATACGGAGCCACTTTCAAGGACATCACCTATTTCTTAAGAAGAAAGAGAAATTCAACAGGTAGGAGGTTTGAAAAGTGAATATAATGTGGACTTTGGGAATCCATACGCTACATCTTCACCAAGACCTGCTCTTTCTCCCCTGGACCTAACATCACATCCCCGTGAGACCTTTCCTGTGGATGGACTCCCTTCTGCCTCTGAGCTATTTCTTCCTAAAGGGGAGAATCAACAGTTCCTGGGCTGTTCTAAAACTTGAAAGCTCCAATTGGAGGCACAAGGTGGAATGGCTTTTCACACATGTGCCTGCACATTTAGCCACTCCCAAAGGCCTTGTACTTAGGGCAAAGATGCTCTTGGCATTCTGAAATGTTTCTGGAGTCCCCCTTTGGAAAGGCTGCTGGTGGGCCACCCGGTCCACACTGTGCTTTGTGACCTCATGCTCAGAAAAAGGCTTTAGAGGAAAAGGGGTCCATGTTCTCACCCAGGACCTGGCTGACAGCACCCCCACAGGCTCCTGGCTGTTTTACTGAGCATCAGCTGGGGGTGTGAGCAGGAACCCGAATCCTCGAGACAGGTGGTTTTCAAAATGAGGCCAAAACAATGAGTGGCCAGTACTGGCAATCAGTTAGTTGGTCAGCTAAGCCATGAACTTGTCTCCTTCCTTCCCCCATTACACACTTTGTCAAGTCCCAGCACTTACACAGGTGGGCTCAGCAATTACAAATGCCAGAGTGCTCAGAGGACCCGCCCATCCCTGTGGAGTGTGCAAAACCAGATTCTAAAGGAGAACCAAAGGATGCGGAAGAGGAAGGCCCAGGACTGCCTGCTGCTGCTCCTGCTTTCAGCACGAGTCCTGCCGAGCTGGTCTCTCAGCTCTCAGCATGGTCCTGCCAAGAACACTGTCACCCACTTGGAGTGGGACCATTTGGCAATCTAGCCAGTGCCCCACACTCCATCTGGAGGCCGGGAGGGGCACTGCAGGCATGGCCTCCACACAGAGTCCTCTCCCAGGGGCTGCTGAGGTCTTTCTAGTCCACGGACTAAACGAGTTGTCCAGCTGCCCTTTTAAATTTGGAATGTTCCTTGCAATAACTGGAACAACTTCTGGCTTCTGGCTCTTGGGGGGCATCCCTGTCTCAGATCCTGCTCTAGGACCAACGTCTCCTGCCTGAAATTAGACATTAAGAAACACACACTCATCCAACAGGAAGTGCACACACCACCAAACACGTTTCCCCTCCCCCCAAACCTGCCCCTTTATGTTTATCTAGCAAGGCACTAGGAAATGGTTCAAGTTTAGGGATTTGCTGTACATTTGCATTTTTTCTTTTGAAAAGGCACAGTTTTTATTTTAATGATGCTGCATTGCTCTCTGATGATGAATCCTAACTCAACTCTCCAAATTGCAACGTTCTTATTATCCTAGATTCTGGAAGGGGCCTCATCTTTTGACTCCTTCCTACAGAGGGCCACTTCTAAAGACAGAGCACTCATTTGGAAAAGACATGAGGGATCAACAAGCAAGCTTTGCAAGCACAGGGGCCACCTCTCCTGTGGACAGGTGGCCAGAGCAGGGCTTGTGCTGGGGCAGAAGTGGAAGTGACGCTTTGCCAGCTACACGCTTAACTGGAGTGGTAGTAGTTGGGAGTGTTTATTTCTCCCCCAGAAAATTGATGGCCTTGAGATCTGCCAGCATCTCAAAGGCAGATTCGTGGTTCTGTTCCCAGATTTATGTCTCAGTTATTTAACTGGTAAACGACACAATCGAGAAACCCAGCTCTAATTGGAATACTGATTTCAAGTATTTCCTGGGCTAGCTGGTGGAAGCCATAGGTTGTAGAATGCGATTTCCATTTCTGAATCTGGGGGAGCAGATTGGTTACAGCAATGCTTCCTATTAGTCTGGGAACCCTCTGGGAGTCTGACACACAATTAACAAAGCAAAAGGACTAAACACGAAGGACTGGCATGGAGCTGGGTGTACATCTGTTCATGGGACACGGGGTTCTTTTCTCCACTGCAGCTGTGCTAATGGTGGGAGGTTGCAGGGCGTCAGGTCTGCCCTGAGGACCGTGTGGTACCAAGGCTTCCAGTGCGAGCTGATGGACACAGGTCCCCCGCCCCCTCCCCCCAACACCACCAACCTTGGATTTCACAGATTGTCTCTAGGCTGGGGACTGCCTTGAATGTATTACATTTGGCTGGCTCCTATAATCATAGCATTCTAGAAATCCATACTGGATGCTAGAATACCAGAATCCTATGTATACTCTAGTTTGTGATCAAATTCTAGAGTTCTTTAAAAATTCTGGAGTTTTACATGAGAACTAGAACTGTGATGAGGTCAGAGGCTAGGCATCTCGCCCATGGTCCACCCAGGAGTCCCCCAGACTCCGTGAGGTGAGCACCTCCACCTCTCTTCCTCTCCTGAGGCAGGTAATTGCCTGAGAGAGAGAGAGAGGAAAATGGAAGCACTGATCAGTCAGGGAAATTTGGCCAGAACTTATAGTTTGGAGGTCTTCTACTAGGCCTTTACCATGGGCCCAAGGCCACCTGACACACAGCCCTGAATGGCTGGTGGCTGGGCTGTGCTTGTGGCCAGAGAGCACGAAAATGGGCGTTTCAAGTACGTGGAGAGCAAGAGGAGACATCCCGTGTGTCCACGGCTGCACAGGAATGTCTGGGGGTACCGCTTCTGGCCCCAGGCCTGGCAGTTGGCTAGCGATCAGCACTGAACACTCCGAGGGCCCCAGGTGTGGCCTTCGACTGCATGGCCTGGGGCTGTGACAGAGAACAGAAGCTCGGCAGTAATTGCAGTGACCCCACGACAGGCAAAAACTAAAAGGCTGAAACCAGTGGCCCCGAAAAAAACTTCCTTTCCTTCTGCTGCAGATGGATGGCACAGGTGCTCAAAGCTGCCCCAAACAGGCAAATTTGCCTCTCTTTCTAAAGGACCGTCATATATGAGCCATCTGAAAGCCAGACAACCTGTAGGAGCATTTTTGGGTGGCCTAGGGCTGCCCTGACGTTCCTCCTGCATAATGCTCAAGGGAACATGGCGACAAAGCTGAAAAGGCCCTCCTGGATTCGCGTGATGCCACCAGGGTTAAAGCAGGCTCTGTTCTCGCATGCGGCCTCTTGTGGGGTCTGCTCTCCACCCCACCTCCGCAGCTCAGGGCCTCCAGGACAGGCAGACACCTTGCTCCAGCCTCCAGAGCCCCCTTCGCCCTGGACCAGTTGGCCGGCACCTTTGACATCACGGTGCCCACGGAAGCCCTGCCTCCCTCGGGAGATGAAGGCTGCAGTGAGTGCTGGAGAGGACCCCGCCAGGCCTGCCAAGGGGACGTGGGGGCTCAGTTCCTATTGAATTTTTCCAAGACTGTTGCGTTGGTGTGTTCAAACAGCCACTGCTGTGTGAGAGAGGAGGGGTTACAGGTGTTCATGAAGATCCTGCGGTCACTTGCACTACAGTCCACACAACTGCCGCTGATGGGGTGGTACAGGGTCTTGTCCTGCAAAACAGGGAGGTTATCAGCCAGGCCGTGCTGGGATACGAGCAGAGAGCAGCAGCAAAAACAGCAACGAGGCAGTGAGGCCGTGACTGGCCAGCCGCTCACAGACGTGTTGGGCTTTCCTCCTGAGCACACAGTGAGACACGGCCCACCTCCCTCACAGTTGACCTCTCCATGGGCCTGAGTTCTGGTCAATGGGATACGGGCATAAGTGAAGCATGCCCTTCCAGGCCTGGGCCCTAGTCACTGCCTGTCTCCAATCAAATTTCATTGGTTCTCATGGTGTTTTTTTTTTTTTTAATGGACTCAGTTGCCAACATTTAAGATTCTAGAGATTTCACATAAAAATCTGGATTTCTGGCTTCTCTTAAATGACTAGAAAGTCGGGCGTGGTAGGTTTGTGGAACAAATGCATGAGTGAGTGGGCTCTGGCGGGAGGAGTGAGGTGGCCGGTTGCCCCGCTCCCCCCACATATCCCGGCTTACTTTGCGGTATTTCCACAGCTGGTTGCCCTTCATGCTGTGGCAATCATAGAGGGTGACTGGGCTGGTGTGGGAGATGGCGTCGAAGCAGAACTTCTTGGTGTGCTGGGGGTCTCCAGGCCGGATGTCCTCTCTCCAGGTGAAGGTGAACACCTGTACACACAGGGACATCATGATAGGGACAGCAAAGCCAGGGGACTTCCTTTTTTTGTAATTACAGAGAATTTTAAACACAGAGGTCCGGAAAAGAGTATATTGCCCACACCTGTTCCAGTAACTGAGCTTCAACACTTACCAACTCATGGCAAATCTTGCTACAGCTTCATCCCCGCACTCCCCCGACCCCCACCTTACTGTGAAGCAAGTCCCAGACACATCATGTCAGGTGTAAATACTTCAGTAAGTGCCATTGTAACAATGACAAGTTACCACAAAGTCCTCAATGTCATCAAATATCTAGAATTCAAGTGTTCTTGGATTGTCTTATAAATTTCTTTTCACAGTTAGTCTGTTTGAATCAGGATCCAGATCAGGTCCCCATATTGTATTTGAGGGATAAGGGTTTTTTTTCCAGCAGCTTTATTGAAGAATAATTGGCATACGACAAACTGCACACATTTAAAGTGTATGATTTGATGCATTTGACATAAGTTTGCACCTGTGAAACTGTCATCATAATCAAGGTAATGAACATATCCATCACTCCCCCAAGTGTCCTCCTGCCCCTTTGTAATCTCTTCCTCCTGTCCCTCCCCACCCCCCAGGCCCTTGGGCAACCACTGATCTGTCTTCCATCACTCGAGATTCTTTAGATTTTTATATAAAAAGATTAGATTTTGCTAATCTACTAGAATTTTATATAAAAAGAATCATACAGCATGTATCCTTTTTTTGTCTGATTTCTTTCACCAACATAACTTTGTTGAGATTCATCCATGTCATAATAGCATTTATCAACAGTTCATTCCTTGGTATTGCCGAGCAGTATTACGCATGGTAATCCATTTACTTGTTCTTGGACATTTGGGTTGTTTCCAGTTTTTAGTTATTAGAAATAAAACTGCTATGAACATTTGTGTACAAGTCTTTGTATGGACGTATGCTTTCTTTTCTCTTGGATAAATACCTAGCAGTGGAATGGTTGGATCATATGATAGATCAATGTTTAACTTTCTAAGAAACTCCCAAACTGTTTTCCAAAATGGTTGTACCATTTACATTCCCGCCAGCAGTGTACAGTTCCAGTTCATCTACATCCTTGCCAACCCTTGGTATGGTGAATATTTTTAATAGGTTATAATTTTAATTTCCATTTCTCTAATAACTCATGCAGTTAAGCATTTTTGATGTGTTTATTTGCCACTGATATACCTTCTTTCCTAAAGTGACTGTGCAAATCTTTTGCCCATTTTTAAATTGGATTTTCTTATTATTGAGTTTTAAGAGTTTTATATATTCTAGATATAAGTCCTTTATCAGATATATGCTTTGTAAACATTTTCTCCCAGACTGTGGCTTGCCTTTCTATTTTCTCAACAGTGTCTTTTAAAGAACGAAAGTTTTTCATTTTGAAGAAGTCTAATTTATCAATTTTTTTCTTCTATGGATTGTACTTTTGGTGTTGAATCTAAGAAATCACTGATTAACCCAAGGTCACAGATGCGTTTGCCTATGTTTTCCTCTAAAAGATTTTGTTTTAGGTTTTACGTTTAGGTCAATGATCCATTTTGAGTTAATTTTTGCATATATATAAGGTATTGAAATTCTTTTTTTTTGCATATGGATATCCAATTGTTCCAGCACCATTTGTTGAAATCCTTCAATGAATTGCCTTTGAACCTCTGCAAAAATCGGCTGTCTATATATGTGTGGGTCTATTTCTGGACTCTCTTATTTTGTTCCATTGATCTTTCTTTATGTCAATACCACTGTTTTGATTACTGACACTTTAATATATCTTGAAATTAGGTGGTGTTAGTCTTTTAACTTTGTACTTCTTTTTGAAAGTTGTTTTGGCTATTCTAGGTCCTGTCCATTTCCATATGAGTTTTAGAATCAGTTTTTCAATTTCTACAAAAAAGCCTGCTAGGATGTTAGGATTATGTTGAATCTATATATTGATCTGGAAAGGATTGATATCAATATTGAGTCTTCCAACCTATGAACATGGTATAAATCTTCATTTATTTAGAACTTCTTTAATTTCTATCAGCAATGTTTTGTAGTTTTCAGTGTACAGGTCTTTCACATCTTTTGTCAGTTACATACCTGAGTATTTCATATTTTTTTCATAGTAAATGCTTTTAATTTTAATTTCTGGTTCTTCATTATTAATATATAAAAATACAATTGACTTTTGTATCTTGTAACTTTTAAAAACTCAGTTATTACTTCTGGTAGCTTCTCTGTAGATTCAATTGAATTTTCCACAAAGATGATCATATAGTCTGCAAATAAAGACAGTTTTCCTTCTTTTTGCATCTGGATGACTTTTATTTCTTTTTCTTGCCACAGGTTAGAACCTCAGTACAGCATCAAATAGAAATGATAAGGTCAGAATCCTTTTCTTGTTCCTGATCTTAAGGGAAAAGCATCAGATTTTTACCATTAAGTATGATGTTAGCTGTAGGTTTTTTAAAATTTATTATTATTTTATTATTTACTTATTTATTTTTTGTGAGGGAGATCAGCCCTGAGCTAACATCCGTGCTAATCCTCCTCTTTTTTTTTTTTTTGCTGAGGAAGACCAGCTCTGAGCTAACATCTGTTGCCTTGCCTCCTCCTTTTTTTCTTCCCCAAAGCCCCAGTAGATAGTTGTATGTCATAGTTGCACATCCTTCTAGTTGCTGTATGTGACACGTGGCCTCAGCATGGCCGGAGAAGCGATGCGTCGGTGCACGCCTGGGATCTGAACCCGGGCCGCCAGTAGTGGAGCACGCACACTTAACCACTAAGCCATCAGGCTGGCCCTGCAAGTTTTTTTTATAGATGCCATTTATCAAGTTGAAGAAGTTCCCTTTATTCCCGGTTTGCTGAGAGTTTTTACTAGGAATGGATGTTGGATTTTGTCAAATGCTTTTTCTGGCTGTATTGAGGTGATTATAAGGCTTTTCTTTTTCAGTTTGTTAGCATGGTGAATCACATTGATTTATTTCCTAATGTTAAACCAACCCTGCATTCCTGGGATAAATTACACTTAGTCATGATGTATTATCCTTTTTAGATACTGTTAGATATGATTTTCTAAAATTCTGTTTAGAACTTTTGCATCTATGTTCATGGGAGATATTGGTCTGTGGTTTTCTTATAACGTCTTAGTCTGGTTTTGCTATTAAGGCAATGCTGGCCTCACAAATTGAATTGGGAAGTGTTCCCTTCTTTTCTGGAAGAGTTTTTGTAGAACTGGTAACGTTTCTTCTTTAAGTGTTGGTAGAATTTACCAGTGAGTCTAGCTGGGCCTGGATTTTCCTTTGTGGGAAGGTTTTTAACTACAATGTCAATTTCTTTAATAGGCTCACGGTGTTTTCCACTCGGGCTAGTGAGAACAGGCACCATTCCTGGCCCTGTGTGAGGCCCAGGCACTGTTCCCTCTAATCCTCTCAGGTGGCTCTTTCCCCAGCCCAGGAAGTGTCCTCGCATGCATGCACTGCCCAGTCTCTGCTGAACATTCAAGGAGGACTCGGTAGGTCTCAGAAGTCCTGTCTGTCTCCAGCTCTCTCCTCTCCCACATTCTGTTTTGTGATTCTAGCCACCTTGGTCTCCTGCACATGCAGCTCCGTCTCCTCAACTCAGGGAGTCTGCCTGGCTCCTCCTGGTTCCCCTTCCCTGACTTGTGGACTGGAAACTCTCTCAAGGAAGGAAGCTGGGACAATCACAGGGCTGACCTTGCTTGCTCCCTCTGTCTCAAGGATTATTGTCCTTCATTGCCAGATGTCCACTCTTCTGAAAACAGTTGTTTCACGTATTTTGTCCCCTTTTTTGGCTGTTTCTGGCATGAGGGTTGATCCAGCCCGTTATTCCATCTTTGCCAGAAGTGGACATTGTGGTGACGGAAGAATGGTATCACCAGCTACTGCCTCCTGTTTATTTCCCAGGCCTTCTCCAGCTCAGGACTATATTTTAGACACACATTTCTCCCTTTACAGGCTCACTAGCGCTCTCTGCTCAGGGTGGTTGAGGGCCCCAGGGTATACAGATCCCACTGGGGCAATTGGGCTGCCGTGCTTCCCATTTCAGAGGGTGGAGTCTGGCACAGCCACATCCAGGTACCATTTTGTTGCTTGTTTGTGTGACTCCTCAGGCATTAATGTGGACTTTCTGCCACATAGTGAGGCTGTTCTGAGGAAAAGCTCCCTGGGCACCTTCTATCCAGGCCCCAAGCTCTTCTTGGTCTTTTCTAGGGCCCCAGGGTGAGATGGGAGTGGGGAGCAGCCACACACTGCCTTGGAGAATTCAGAAGAATTAGTCTAGGAGAGCCACTATCTAATAAGAACTGCTATCAAGAAAGGATGAGGGAGAGCGACAAGCATTTCAGAGGGAGGGGGAGCTATGCCAGGCTGGGCACTGTGCCCGTGTGAGAGGTGGCGCTGTCGACTCTCAGTGAGTATGTATGCACCCCTTCTGAGTTCTGTTGTTCAGAGGACCCACATTACAGGCTTATATCAGTGTACACTTCCAAAATCCCAGAAAATTGTAAGGAGACTAAAAATGTATCCTTCAACCAAGATTCAGCAGGTGCTGTGTGATTTACCGTTGATGTTACCTGATTGGAGGAAGGGATCTCGGAAAGCTAAATGCAGTTTCCTGAGAGTGGCGGCTTCTCCTGCATGGCTGGCTTGCACTCCTCATTCTTTTGATAACCTCCTTGGGGAGCCAGCCTTCTCTCACTCTTCTTCCCGCCCTCCAGGTGAGGCTGACCATACCCCAGGCTCCAGGAGTGGGTGTGTGACCCAGGCCCGATCAATATGAGGACTGTATCACATCCTCACCACAACTGGCTCAGGAAAGCCCACGTGTGAGAGCCCCAGGGCTTTCCCAGAACTCTGCGAAGGGACATGCTTTGCCACGGGGGGACGGAAGCCTTTGCTGCCGGTGGTCACATCTGCCACCACCTGGGAAGAGTAGGTTAAGAAGGAAGCCAACAGAGAGAAAGCAGGGTTGAGACTCTGGAGAGATCCCGATGACATCATCTAGGCTCTTCAGTGACATAAGCCAATAACTCCCTCTTTTTGTGGAGGCCATTTGGGCTGGGTGTCCGTCATCCGTAAACAAAGTCCAGATTGATGGTTTTATTGCAATGTGAAGGATTTCTCTTTCCGAGGTGTTCAGGAAGCTCTTATAAGTCACCCTCTGGGCTGACTTGTCACTTATTGTTGACCTGTGGCCTCTCCTGCCCAGCCCTGACCACGTGAGCACTCCAGGTGGCAGATGGCACAGAGAGCCTGGCTGCCAGTCCCCGAGGAGAGGCCCTTACCTGCATGTTGTTCCACGCGGCCTCCCCTCGGCCCCGGACGCAGCTCTCCAGCCTCAGCAGGGAGCCCACGGCCCCGTGCTTCGTGTCTGCACACAGCCCCGTACCCACATTGCGGATCTGGATGGGAAAGAGTGGACCAGTGAGGCACCTTGAGACACCCACCTGGGCCCCTGCTGGGGTGGCACGAGGGAACCAAGGCAGAGACATCAGATGGGCTGAGCTCTGAATTGTCTATAAAGCTTGCTGTGGGTTAGTGGAAGTACCTTGAGCCTCTCAATAAAGGAATACTCAGTCCACAGAGGAGCTCCTCTAAACCCGGCTGTCTTAGAGCACATGGAGTCACGGGGAGATGGTGGGGATGAGACTGGAGGTGAGGGGGTGTTAAAAGGAGGACTCCCTGGCCCCACTCCCAGAGAACTTGACCCACAAGGTCCAGAAACCTAATTTACCCCCATTCCAGGTGATCCAGGGACCACACCTTGAAAACCACCCTAGGAAAGGACATGACATCTTTGCTGTAGGGTCTTGGACTCTCAGCCTTTTAGGGCAGGTGAATGGCAGGAGGTGGCAGGATCCAAAGAACAGCAGCGGTCTCATGAAGACAGGCGTGGTGTGGTGGAGGAACACTGGTGGGGAGTGTGAAGGCCTAGGCTGCTTGCATAGCCGGCACTTACTATGGACAGGCCACCATGCTGGGTGCTGGGGTCACATTATGTAGTTCCCGCCTCATAGATATCGCTCCCATTTTGTCTGAGGGGTGGGGGGGGGGCGGTGTGGTGGCTGTGAAAACACGCCACTCCACACTGCAGGGAGCCTGACCACCCAGCTGCTGTGTTCTGAATCCACCACTGTGCCTGAGTGGAGGCCACGCTTCCCCAGGGCTGCTTCCAGCTAATGACCAAGGGAGGCAGGGATACTGTGGCAGGCCCACTCCTGGGAGATGCCGGTCTCCTCTGACAGGACACCTGGCTTGAAGACTCCTCATTAACCCGGGCAGACTTCCTTAGAGCCTCACTGCTCTGGGACTCTTCCTACTTGGCCCCCCCTTCCTTTCCTCTCCCCTTCCCAGAGCACAGACGGGCATCACGGTTGGACGGCTCTTCCAGCCTCCCCCAGCTCCCTGCTCACTTTTTCTCTCAGGTTTCCCCACAAGTCCCTTGCACATCTAATCCCATCTTGGTGTCTGCTTCTTGCAGGACTTGAACTGACACAGGGGAGAAAGCCAATAAACTGACAAAGAAAAGAAAAGCTTCACGAGGAAGTCAACACAACACCTCCTCTAGAATACTCATGCTGGTGTTGGGTGGGGCTCGCCAGACAGCTTAGTCAGGAAAGGTCCCTCTAACTTGCCGTGTGAATTTGAACAAGTCACAGCTGGTGTTTCTGCAGGCCCACCATGAGTCCCTCCTTCCTCTGGTAACAACACCCTGATTTTCCAGGGGGCCACTGCTCCTGCCCACCCTGTGGCCAGAGCACCCATCCTCCCCTTGCTTTGCCCCTTCCGTCAACTGCCAGTGATTGGTGCAGATCCAAGAATAAGACTCAATTCCTGGACCTTGGCTGGCTCCACTGGGAAAGAGGCGTATACTTCCTGCTGGGTTGGCCAAACTGGGGCTTTGTCAGCCTGAAGCTTCTGGAAGCCATCTTGCTACCCTTAGCATGAAGCCAACACAAAAGGAAGCAGAGTTAAGCAGGAGAAAAAGAGACTGTCATCATTTGAGGCCCTGGATCCAGGTGTGTCTGAAGCCACAGCTACCCAAGGTTCCTAAGAGAATCAACAAATTCCCCTTTTTCACTTTAAATTGGACTCTGCCACCTGCAACTGAAGGAGATCCACCGCTCCCCCTCCCCAACTCCTAATCTATCCATCTATAAGTAAGCGGGTCCTCTCAGCTCGGAGACCCAGGATCCGGTGATGGAGTGCCGCTCCCCCTGGTAAGACTGTTTGCCTCCTCCAGCAGGACTGGCTTCAAGGTGTGTGACATGAGCAGTCACACAGGGCCCCGCCCTCAAAAGGGGCTGTGCTTAGTTTAAAGCTCTGCTGTCATTGTCTTAAAATTCTTTTTTTTTGCTGAGGAAGATTCACCCTGAGCTGACATCCATTGCCAATCTTCCTCTTTTTTCGCTTGAGGAAGATTAGCCCTGAGCTAACATCTGTGCCAATCTTCCTCTTTTGGCTTGAGGAAGATTTGCCCTGAGCTAACATCTGTGCCAATCTTTCTCTTTTTGCTTGAAGAAGATTAGCCCTGAGCTAACATCTGTGCCAATCTTCCTCTATTTTGTATGTAGCTCACTGCCACAGCATAGCTAACAAGTGGTGTAGGTCCACGCCCGGGATATGAACCTGCAAACCCGGGCTGCCAAAGCGGAGCATGCCAAACTTAACCACTACGCCATGGAGCCAGCCCCTTAAAATTCTTAATTTTATCTTTGGACTTGTAAGTGAAATCTGATGGGAAAATGGAGCACGTGTGAACAGAGGTGGATACGAGCATCCGCTGTTCCTTTCTGTCGCCATCACGAACAGTTTCTGCGAGGCCCCACAAGCAAAGAATCCCAGGGGGTCCCGCACACATAGGGGTTCACCGAGACTCAAAGTGAGGACAGGGTGAGTGGGTTACATCATGACTAAGTGGGAGCGCTGGCAGGTCTAAGAGAACACGCTTTCCTTTCCAGCCAGAACTTGCCTTTGGCTGGAAGAAGGGCAGTGGCATTCTAAGACAGAGAGATGGAGGGGCTCCATCGTGTCCTTTCTAACTTGTGTCACTTCCCTGGATTAGCCAACCACTCAAGCAGCAGGAGGAAAGGGAAGGACAGGGCAGCCCATGGCTCCTTTTCCCTCAGCTCTTCCTCACTCATCAGTAGGCTGAATGCAGAGTGTTGGTAGAAGGTGCACATTATCCAGAAGTGAAATAAATACAGCTGCCTTAGTTTTGTGCCGTGTTTCCACTGTTCCGGCAAGAAATACCTACGCGTGTACAAGGTTTAAAACACAGATTGTGAAATTTCACTGATTCTGCACACGAGTTAAATGCTCTTTTGTCTTCATTTAAAACCGGCACTGCATAATGTAAAGATGAATGGTAAAATTTATGCTAATAATTTAAAGTTTTAATTTTTCTGTACTTAGAACATTAAACAGCAAATGAAAAAACACCATGACAAGGCTAAAGAGAGACCAGGAAAGAACGGAATACGTTTTACATTTTATGCCTTTAACAGCACTTTCTTCCTGTCTGTGAATGGGAGGTGGGGTGGGGCGGTCCACATGTGCATTTTGCACGGGGCCCCAGTTTGGTAGCTGGCCCTGCCCTCCAGACTCACCTCCCCCCAGGCTGCGGCTGGGGGCTCCACGGGCGGGTAGAACTTGGGCAGGTCCCAGGCGATCTGGGTCATAAACCACCGGAAAGTCTTGCAGTTAAGGCCGCTGCGGAGCTTCTTCTGGGCGGCCACGTCCCCGGCAGAGAGGTGGCGGTACTCGGGGCGGCGCTGGTAAATGTGCTCGGCGTACTCGTCCATCCACACTTCCGCCACGCGCTTCAGGTTCTGGAGGGCGACAGGCAGGTGCAACGGTCAGGTTCTCCGAGGGGCCGAGGCTAAGGGCTGGGGTGCAAAGGGTCCTGGAGGGTGAGGTCAACCTTTCTTATTTTATGTTGCAGCAAAGACCCTACCCCACTGCGGTTTTAAGCCTTCTATGTTTCTATTTTTCAATTATGTATGTTTTAAGGATTCTACAACTTACCGTTGAATAATAGACTGCTGTTTTTACCTGCCTGCCCATCTTCCATCCCCTATTTTTCTACTGATAGCCACCACCGATTTTCCTTTGGGAACCCCCTGCTGCCTCACTGTCAATTCATGTGGCTTGAGGCAAGGTACATAACCCAGCCCTGCTAATGGGAGCACAGGCAGCCCTGGACACAGGATTGGTCAGCAGTGAGCATGTGACCTAAGCCAAGTCAATCAGAATCAATGGGCATTAGCCCTGGAATTTCTGCTGGAACTATGGGAGAAGAATTGCTCTGTTTCTGCCTGGATTCCTGGCTAAGATCTTCTGGGTAAGATGGCAACCAGAGCTGCTGGGTCACATGGCCACACTATGAGGAAAGCCTGTCCAAGGGTGAAGTCAACTCAGAATGAAGCAGAACTGAGGACTAGAGCGAGGAACACATTCCTCCTTTTAGCACCTGAATCCACCCAGGCCTGAAGCCAGAACTACCTCAGGACCTTCCAGTTACATAAGCCAGTAAATTCATTTTCTGCTTAAGCCAATTTGAGTTGGGTTTCTGTCATTTTCAACTAAGACTGCTGACCAAGTTGCATGGTAGAAACATTATAATTTGCCACTAAAAGGTATAATTCCATCAGTCACTGGACTTCTAAATAATTCTTTGAGGTGCCAAGACTGCTGCTACTTTTATTATGAAGCACGTGGATAATCAATAAAAACAATGACAACCACATTATTGGCAAGTAGAGGTAGCAGGTGAGGGAACATCTTGTTTGTGAGCAGATTGGAGATGGAGGAAGAGTGAGCTCTTCTGTGTAACTGTGATGAAAACTCCTCATTCCATCTGCAAGTAGACCCACCTGCCGAGAACCTCTGACAGCGGGCACTGGGCAAGCACACCTTCAGGGCTCAGGGGAAATTCCCTGCTCCAAAATATCTTCCTCCAACTCCTGGCTATTGCTAGAAATCCTCTCACATTTAACTCTCCAGGCTTTATCACAGAGTTTTTTTTCCTACTGCAATTCAGATTTTCCTCTGAAGGGTAAAAGGCAGTTAGCACTTTACGCTGTTATCAGTGATTCACACCTCAGTGTAAATGACTGCTCTAGAAGCAGAAGGTAAGGCAGGAGTTAGCAAATGTTTTCTGTAAAAGGCGAGATAGTAAATATTTTAGGCTTTGCAAACCATATGGTCTCAACTCTGATGTCGCTATAAAGCAGCCCTAGACAGTACATAAACGAATGGGTGTGGCTGCATTCCAATAAAACTTTATAGCCATTGAAATTTGATTTTCATGTGTCACAAAATATTATTCTTCTTTTGATTTTTTTCCCCCTATTTAAAAATGTAAAAACCATTCCTAACTCCCGGGCTACATAAAACCAGTTTGCCAATTTCTGAGCAAGGAGGAAGGAAGCCAACGGGAAGGAGGCCCTGGAACCTAAGACAAAATTCACCAGCTCCTCAGTTTTGCTGGCTCTGAGTCTGGCACCAGCAAACTACAGAACTTCCTTGCCACTGCCTCCTTCTCCCTGGGTGCTGAAGAGGTCGACAGTGGGTCAGAAAACAGTTCAAGAACAGGGTTTTCCCTGCCAGGCCCCGGCACAGCATAAGGCTGGGTTTAATTTAAAACTGTGCCCAGCAGAAGCTGAAAGGGCCTGCACACCTGACCACTCTCCTTTCTCGTCTGCCCGCCCAAGTCCTCTGGCTCACTGGCTAATCCACTCAAGCCACAGGGATGACGAGGAACCCTTGGAGTTTTCTCTCCAACCACAGGCAAGGGTGCCCAATCTGATCAAGGAAAGGTGCTGACATTCACCAGTGTTATGCTTAAAGGATCAAATCACATATTTTAATTTTAAGCAATATTTAAATGACTATTTTAATAAATATTGCATTTTCCAGACATGGCTTAATAAGCCATTTCTCCCAGACCTTGAACTTTTGTACGGTTGACTGTTTGGACCCAAGTAAAGGATTTTACGTTTACTTCTATTACATCTCCCCTTGCGAGAGTCATGAAAAGGACTCTGGGATTTCAGTGGGTGGCGTGCTCCTGTTCTCCCTACTCCTGCCACCTTCCTAGTTCCAGGTCGCGGTCCTGTCTGAGGCCCCCTGCTCTCCTTGTGCGTGGATTACAGAGATTTGCGCAGATCCTTGGAACAAGTCTCCCCTTTTGTTTCGCCAAGTTTCAGTGGTTTCTGTTACTGCCTTCCCTAAGACTCCTTTCCCAGAGGCAAACAAAAGAAGGATTTTAGCAAATTTAGTAAGCAAATTAAGACTGGCTACTTGTTCTTGAGGCAGGCAAGCTGGTGGTCAGCTCATCCTTCCTGAAGTGCTACCTCACGGCTGTCTGGCTGTCGGTCTGGCGTCTGTGATTGAAGCATCACAAGTCCTGCTAATACTGACGCGGACACTAATCCTATACTAACAATAGCAGTCACTATTTAAGGGACCATTGCTCTGTGCCAGCACAGGTGAGACCTAAATGGGTTTGAAATCTGGCTCTAGTTACTTAATGTCTCTATGTTTCACTTTCCTCATCTCTAAAACCGGGATTAAAAACAAATGAGAATTAAGTGATAAGCATGTAAGGCGCTTTGTACAACGTCCGGCTCACAGGAAGTTATGTTACCACAGTTAGCTATTATCCATTGAATTCATCTGTGGCTCAATACACAAGAGGTGGAAGTGTCTCTTTACCAAGCCAGTCTTATAAATGACAGCTCTGGGTAGGGAAAGGATGCTTTGGGAGTGGTCCTGCTCAGCGGTAAGAGCTGTCCCCATGGTCTCACTGTCCCTAGTAGCTGAACGAGTTGCACTCTTGGGCTTCCTGAGTAACTTTGCGCTGTTTTCCTGCCTGGCACCTTCCTCTGGGATTGCCAATGGTATTTCAGATGAAATGTGATTCCTGCCTCTGCTGCTGAATCTAGAACCCGCCCCCCGCGTCCAACGGGGCTGTCCAAAGCGGGGACGGCTGGTGCGGCTGTCGTTAGACTCTTCGACCACTAGAGGGCACTGCCGCCTCTCTTTCCCCTCAACGCCGTTCCCATGGCAGCCCCTGCCGCCTCCGGAGCTCGGCTCCCCACCCACGGACGGAGCCTGGAGAGACCCGACGCCTCTTCGAGCCTCTTCGTCTTCCTTGTAAATCGCAGGACAAGGGCTCTTCGCGGACCCAGGGGCTACAATTCTACACGTCGTCGACTGTCAAGTGACAAGGGAGGGGGAGGCGGTGGCCTAGGCGGAAGCAGGCTGTGTGGACAGACGTCAAACAGGCTCGCACGGGGCGGGGGTGGGGGGATCCGTTGGGCGGGGTAGGGGGGGTCTCCAGGAGGCAATGCTGTGCCGGTGATCTTTCCAGCCTCCCTCTTCACCCTCTGGGGACCCTCCCTTCTCTTCATTTTTCTTTTGTGGTCACCTTGATTTTTTTTTTCTGAAGACACTAAATACATATTTTAAAATTATTAACGTTTAGTGAGATATCGTTAATACAAAAATAAAAACAAAACTCTGGCTAACAGATTTCCATGTGTAGCCAGGGGCCAATTTAATTCAAGCAATGATTAATACAAACCATTTAAGGCAATGAAATAGTCTGACACAGAATTTTTGGCAATGAAAGTGGGGAGGGGCTGGGGAGAAGAGAGAGACACATTTATTAATCACTCCTGTGCTAGGAACTTTTAAGTACCTTGTCTGAGGCTTTCCCAAACACACCACTCCACCTGTATTAATATTTATGTAACATGTTTCCTTAAATCACCCCTGGTCTAACTTTGCACCGACTTTAGCTTTATCCTAAGTAATAATGTCTGTAAAATCACAAGTTTGCTACACTAATACCTATTAATTTCTAATTCACATTAATTTAAACAGATGAAAATAAAAAATATTCCTATGTCTACCACCTAAAATCATCTTGTCCATCACACTTTGGGAAACTGCGTCATCTCCTTGATTCTCCTGGCAATGCTAAGAGTAAGAAAGAATTAGTTTCCTTTAAACAAAGGAGGAAAGACAGGTTCAGAGGAGTTAAGCAACCCTCCCAAGGTCACACAGCTAGTAAGTGGTTAAGCAGGGCTTTAATTAAGTTCTCTTAAACTGGATTTCACCTGGAGAGTAGGGGTGGGGCACATCCTCACACCTGGGATTACTTGGCCTGGGGCCCTGGGTGCCTCTGCTCTGCTGATGGGCCTGGGCCAACCCCCTCGCCCCCGGGGAAGCCACCAGCTTACCCGGGCCAGGCTTACTCCAGCGGGGACCTTGTAGGGCACGTACTTCCTGTAGATATGGCCCACCCTGGAGCAGGGAATGTCCTCCATGCGGCCCCCACACATCCACACCTGCAGGAGACGAGAGAGAAGATGATGTTTCTGCCTCCAGCTCACTGCCCCTCAGAGGCCAGTGTCCCTGGCCAGAGTGAACCCAGGAACCCAGAGTGTTCATCGAAAGCGTCAGCCTGGATTGTGTACTAAAGCCCCGTTCACAGAACCAGGGACGTAGGAAAACCCAGTAATAACAAGAGCAGTAGAAAGAGCTGACAGCATGGGTGCTTCCTCACTGCCACACACTGTGCTGCGAGCTTCAGACGCATTTCACCTCATCAAAAAACCTCTCCAGTAGGAAGTAACAGAGCTCCATTTCACAGATGAAGAAACTGAGGCTCAGAGAAGCTAAGAAACCTGTCTAAGGTTACAAGGTTACTAAGTGGTGGAGCCAGATTTTAAACCCAGCTTTAGCTGACTCCAGAGTCTGAAGCTTGGAGTACTGTGTTGAGAATTCTAAGGCGGCATCGGGGCTCAGTGGGAAGGACTGCGGGGATGGCTTAGTGATGTCTGCCACAGGTATGAGAGGGACAAGGTGGCACATAGGCTCTGCACATTTCCTGACCCTGGCGTTAGATTCTGGAGTTTCCTCCTCGATCTGTGAGCCTCTGGCGGGGTTGCCCTGAGCAGTGGCAGCAGCTCCCTGCTCTGACTTCTCTGCAGGCTGGCGTGCTCAGCCGTGCAGCTGGGTATGGCTGCAGTGTGGGACCTGATGTTTCTCCTGTGTCTCCCTCCATATCTGGCGTCACAGAGAGCTCCTGAGTTTGACTGCACGTTGGTCTGACAGTAATTTGGGAATTCTTAACAAGTGCAACCAACGTTGACTCAGGCAGTCCTGGGTTCAAATCCTGACTCAGCCACTACTCAGCTTCGTGACTTTGATCAGGGTACTTCTCTGAGGCTCAGCTGCCTCATCTGTAAAGGATTAAGTGAGGCAGGCCTGGGGCATGAGATATTGCATGTAAAGTACTTGGCACATCCTCACAGCAGTGTTACATACTGCAATGATTAATTCATATATTTGACTGAGATTTATGGAGTATCTGCTACATGCCAAACATACAGCACTGAATGTCGGCCACCGTCCCTGCTCTCATGGAGGGGGAGCGTGGTGGCCAGCCTCCAAGATGGCCCCCAATGATCCTCGCCTCCTGGTATTTGCGCCCTTAATAGTTCCCTCCCAAATGCGTCACATGAGGATTGCCCTGTGTAAGCAACAGGATGCTGCAGAAATGACGGTCATGAGAGACACTGTGGCTTCCGCCTCACTCCCTGGGATCACTTGCTCCGGGCAGCCAGCTGCCATGTTGTGAGGACGCTCAGGCAGCCCTGCGGAGATGTCCAGGTGAGGAGCTGGGGCCTCCTGCTAACAGCGCTAACCTGCCAGCCATGTGAATGAGCCATCTGAGAAGTGGATCCTTCCATCCCCATCAAGCCTTCAGGTGATACCCTGGCTGGTACCCCAACTGCAACCTCACGACAGACCCAAGCCAGGACTGTCCTGCTAAGCCCCTCCCCCATCCCTGACCCACACAGACTTTGAGATACTGTTTATTACTGCTTGAAGATTATTTTTTCCCATGGCAGTAGATAAATAATACCGGGAGACAGTTTCAGATGGTGATGTGTGCTGTAAGGAAGCCAAAGCAAGGTAACTGGATAGACTCAGTGTGTGGATGTCTGGGATGCCACATTACCCCACCTGTCAGGGAAAGCCTCACTTAGAGGGGACTATTTGAGAGAGACTTAAATGATGAGAAGGTAAACGTAACATAAAGATCAGAGGGGTGAGAGAACAGGTGTTGGGAAGAGCAAGTGCAAAGGCCCTGGGGTAGGGAGCCAGAGGCCTGGAGCGGAGGGAGCAAAGGGAGGCGTGATGGGAGGGGAGGTCAGAGAGGTGCATGGGGACAATCATAAGGGTCTTGCAGGGCAGAATAAGGAGTCTTCACCGAAAGTCTTCAGTGAGGGAAACAACAGAATCCAATATCTATTTTACAAAGACGACTCTGGCTGTGGAGTGGAGAACAGCCTATAGGGTGCAGGCTGGGGGAGGGAAGGCCTGGGAGGCAGTCCCGGCTTCAGGTTTGTGGGACTGTGGTGATGGTGGGACACAGCTGGATTTGGGACATCCTTGTTAATCTTGTTACCATATGCCCTCATTTGGGGAACGAGGAGTAGGATGGGAACAGCCACAACCCGGATTCTGTGCAGAAGAGCCTTCCTCAGCTTGAACTGCTCAATGGGACACTGGGGATTTGGCTTCATGTTGTGATTAGTTCAGAGGCTCCAGAAGGGCCACTCTTTCACCTTGTGCACCTGCGGGGTCCTCAGTCTCCCAGGACCTCCCGCCAGCCGCTGCTCTGTACATCCCACCCCAGATGTTCTCTGTCCTGGGCTCCCGAGGGGATGTGTACTCATGGGGCTGCAATCAGTGAAGTGCTGTCTGGAGAAATGCAATTATATTCTGATCTTGGGGGAGAAAAAAAAATCGAGCAAGTCAATAGAACAGAACATTGGTCTTGAGATAATGGGTTCCTGATGGTAGATTAATGTCAAGGCCAAGCCAAGAAGTTTATTTTCAAAGCAGGAGATATTGATCAGGCGCCAGCATCCCATAACAATAACTCTTCCTTTATACAAAGTGACTGATGTGGAAGTGATGCTTTTGTTTGGCGGATGTTGCCCAGGTCGCCGCTGGGCTGCCCCTGCCTTTCGGGAGGCGGAGAAGTGCTGAGCAGGTGGGGGACACCTTACCCTGCTCTATTTTTGAACGTCTCCTGGGCAGTTGACCAGGCTGGCGTCCAGCTCTCTCAATTCCATATTAAACTCACATTAGCTAACGAGGCTGCGTCTCCAGCTCTGCCTGGCAGGGAACCTTCCTTTATGCCGACGGATGATCAATTTCCAAATCCTTCTCTTTGCTGTGACCTTGGGTTTCTTTGGCCCTGAACACACTGGCCATCAGCCTGAAGGTTCCTGAGGGACAGGGTGACCTTGATCAGCTGAGAGGTGTGAGGCATCCAAAATGACCTCCAATTCCCGGGACGTCCAGAGCCCAGGGGAGTCCTGGCTTTGGATGATGGGTTTACACCGTGGCTTCCCTGCCCTGGACGTGATTCACTGACGGCTGACTCAAGAGTGTGAACTGCCTTCAGAGAGACAGACACCTGTTCAGCCGAAGCTGCTGCCAACTCCTGAGTCTTCTGGGAGCACCTGAGAAGGGCCCATCACGGGGCACACCCAAGTCTTCAGAACTCCCTCTGGCCACTCAGAATGCATCTTACACAGTGGTCAACATCCCCCATGGTGTTCGCTGGTTATCTGGCACAATCCCAAGACTGGAGGGGACTCTCCTTCCAAGGACATGATAAAAGTTGGAGGCACAGAATGGTGTCATGACTCGCCATGGGCAGGGCAGCGGGCCAGAGCTGGTCTGGATCCCAGGTCACCTACCTTTGTACCTTTAGGGCCCTCCTCCCCCTTCCTTCACGGCCACCTTGTGCAGCTGTGTGGCCTCATGCAAGGCATTCACCTGGGGAGCCGCACTCTCCTCACCTGTGACCCGGGGATGACAGTCACTGCTACCTCTCAAGGCTGAGATGGCCTGAGACAACCCGTGAGAAGCTCTTAGCTTTATGACTGGCTACAGCAAACCTGATCAACGTTAGGCATTTCTACTTGCAAAAGGATGAGAAATACCACCACCTTGAAATTATATGGCATTTGCCCTTTTGCCCAACATCATCATGTTTTCTCATCCTATGGCTGATTTCCCAGATGGAGAAAGTGAGGCTCAACGAGACCAAGGTTTTCTACTTGACTTGGTGGCAGAGCCTGCAACTCACCAGAATGACAGGGCCAGGTGGGGTGGGGCGCAGTCACGGGGTACCACCTGGGGCCCGGCTGCCCAAGGGCGCTCTCCAGATCCTAAAAGAGGAGTCCCCCCGGTGGCAGCGAGAAGAGGGAGCTGCAGTGCCAGCAGCAGCCAGAATCGCATTTGGCCGGGACCCCATTGTATTTGGATGGGGACAAATACAGGCCACTGAGAATACATCCTTGCAGCCCCTCACTGCTGTCAGCTCTCTCCCCCCGTCCCCCTCCATGCCCTTCCCAGCTCCCACCCCCACGGGGAATGCTGCTGCCTGCTCTGGGAGCCTTGCTGTGCCACCAAAAGGAGTTTCCAAACACAGCCTGTCAGCTTGTTTCTTGTTGCCTTTTTCCTCCTGTGGAACAGTCTTCTCCGGGAAGCACCCTGCCACTAGACAAGTACAAATCTAATTGTAAAAGCTTGCTCTCCATTCATTTTCATTGCTGCTTTGATTTATTTTATTAGCAAACTTCTTTTGTGTGATGACAGGCTTCATTACAGTGTCTATAAAAGACAATTTCTCACGCTTATCTCCTAAACTGAGGGGGAAAGAAACGAGTGGTGATGCGCATCAGGGAGAAACAATGGGACCTGGAGAGAGAGCGGTGGAGAGTGCGTCCTGTGGAGGGAACCCTCCCTCTGTCAAGGACATGGCTGCCTAGAAGCCAACCAGGAACGGGACGGCCATCCTGCCTGCCAACAGCCGGGGAGAAGATGGCAGCCAGCCATGTCTTTTGCTGTTGGCATCTCAGCTGAGGACCCCTATGGAGTTCAAACGCTATTCAGTTGCACTTTGGGGAAATAATATGATAATAATCACTACTGATTATTCTGCATTATCTGTGTGCTTAGGAGGTACGCAGGGTAGCCGTTATGGGCTCGGTTCTGGAATCAGACAGAACTGAGGTCTAATCCAGGCTCTTAGGCAAGCTTTGTGAAAGCCTCAGTTTCCTCATCTGCAAAATGGGATGAATTATTGTGCCAACCTCCCAGGGTTTTGATGAGGCTGCATGAGGTCATCCTGAAGCACAGACGACTGTGTGCAATCTGAATGGTGTCACCTGGACCCATGGCAGCTGTTGCTACTGGTGGTGGGCATTGCACATATGCCACGCAATTCCCCTCAGAAAAGAAGAAACAGGGTTATATC